GAAATGAGGTCTCACCAAGTTGCTCAGGCTGTTCTTGAACCTGTGGGCTCAGGCAATCCTTTTACCTTGGCCTCCAAAGTGCTGGATTATAGGCTGAGCCACCTACTCCGGCCCTAAACTTCATTTAAAAGCCAAGGTTTACTTTGTAGTATGGCTATGAAAGGAAAAGAAAGAATAACATTGCATTTAGGAGGGAAGTTAAGTCCACTGTAGATCCTTTCAAAATTACAGGGATTCTCACGGGCTGTGGCTCAAGCCTGTAACCCTAGCACTTTGGGAGGCAGAGGTGAGAGGATGCTTGAGCCCAGGGGCTGGAGACCAGCTGGGTAATTTGGCAAGACCTCATCTCTACAATAAATCAAAACATTAGCTGGGTGTGGTGGCACATGTCCGTAGTTAGGCTACTTACAAGGCTGAGGCAGAAGGATCACCTTAGCCCAGCAGGTAGAGGCTATGGTGGCTGTAAGTGTGCCACTGCACTCCAGCCTGGGTGACATAGTGATACTCCAACTCAGAAAAAAAGAAAATTATGGGGATTCTGTGTGTGTTTGTATGTGGAGGTAAAGGGAGCAGTGGAGACAGAGAGTTTGAGGATACAGGTGAAGGTATAGCAAAAAGTTTACTTGGAAAGGAAAGATTTTCACCAAGTTTTTTAAAAAAATAATTTATTAGCCTTTAGAAGACTGCAAGGTGAATTTATCCCATCAAGGCCAAGTGAACCTTTTCTCATCATGATATTCCCATGGTCCACATTTATTTATTAAATAGAACCTTCATCTTTCTGTAGTCCAGAAGGGAGATGGATAAGAAAGATACTTGGTAGAAGTTAAGAATTAAAATTCACTAACCAGCTGGGCTCGGTGGCTCAGCCTGTAATCCCGCGCCTTTGGGAGGTTGAGGTGAGTGGATTGTCTGAGCCCGTGGGTTCGAGACCCGCCTGGGCAGGAGAGACCTCATCTCTACAATAAATCAAAAAATTAGCCGGGCATGGTAGTGCATGCCTGTAGTTCCAGCTACTTGGAAGGCTGAGGCGGAAGGATCGCTGGAGCCCAGCAGGTCGAGGCTGTGGTGGCCGGGAGTGGCCACTGCACTCCAGTCTGGGTGACAGAGTGAGACTCCAACTCAAAAAAAAAAAAAAAAAAAAAATTCACTAACCAAAATCTGGAGCTGTATCACAACAAAGACTATTCAAATGGCTGGTATGCTTCCGAAGTATATGCCTGGCATATGATGACATTTTAGAAAGGGCTTGACAATTAAGATGCTACCTATATATTATAAATGTTTTAAAATACATACATGAGCACACACATAACATACTAAGCAGTAAAATATTCTGTTTATTTTATTTTATTTTTATTTTTTGAGTTGGAGTCTTACTCTGTCACCCAGACTGGAGTGCAGTGGCATACTCCCGGCCACCGCAGCCTCGACCTGCTGGGCTCAGGGGATCGATCCATCCACCTCAGCCTTCCGAGTAGCTAGAACTACAGGCGCGTGCTACCACACCCGGCTAGTTTTTATTGTAGAGACGCGGTCTCACCAAGTTCTCCGGGTGGGTCTCGAACCTGCAGGCTCAGGCAATCCACTCACCTCGGCCTCCCAAAGTGCTGGGATTAAAGGCTGAGCCACTGAGCCCAGCCTATTCTGGTTTTTTTTATAGTTACTTTATTATATAGCCTGAATAACTAGTTAAAAAAATAAAGCACAAGTGCTAGAAATAGCGTATGCTAAAACCACACAGTATGAATGAGAAAGGAGTGTCAGGGCCTCTGTCATCACTGTGAACTTCCACAAACTCTTATTTTTTTTGTCAGAGCCTCACTGTGTTACCCAGGCTGGAGTGCAGTAGCACACTCATGGCCACCCCAGTGTCGACCTTCTGGGCTCCGCCTATTCTTCCACCTTAACATTCAAAAGGCCAGAACTACAGGTGCACACTACCACACCCAGCTAATTTTTTAAAAATTTATTGTAGAGACGAGGTCTCTCCAAGTTGCTCGGGCAGGTAGGTCTCGAACACACAGACTCAAGCAATCATCCACTAGCCTTGGCCTCCTAAAGTGCTGGGATTACAGGCTGAGTTACCGAGCCCAGCCTCCACAAACTCTATTTTTTTTTTTGAGTTGGAGTCTCACTCTGTCGCCCAGACTAGAGGGCAGTGGCCGCTCCCGGCCACCGCAGCCTTGACCTGCTGGGCTCCGGCGATCCTTCTGCCTCAGCCTTCCAAGGAGCTGGAACTACAGACGCGTGCTACCACGCCCGGCTAATTTTTGATTTATTGTAGAGATGAGGTCTCATCAAGTTGCCCAGGCAGGTCTTGAACCCGCGGGCTCAGGCAATTCACTCACCTCAGCCTCTCATAGTGCTGGATTACAGGCTGAGCCACCGAGCCCGGCCGTCCACAAACTCTTATGGAGAGCCAGCTACTCTGTACAAAGTACTGTGCTTAGAGGTGGGAGGGATACAGATGTTTAAGATGCAGCTCCTGCCTTTAATAAGGCATATTAGCTATTATCAAGTTTCCATTAATCAAATGCATGTGACCATTAAAAGTCTGTCATAAATATTTTGTTTCCATTCTGATAAATTTCCCTTATTTGCTTTTTATTTCCCTTTAAATCTTTCCTAATTATCACAACTATTGGTACTTCAGAAAAAGCAGATATTGCCTAGGCAGAGTGCCATGACACTAGTCATACCATCATATTTTTGTGGAACTGAAACAAACAGCTTGTCCAGATTTATCTCTTGCATGGTTGGTAACTGGCTGAATTGGAAAGTCAAAGGCACACTCAGAGGAGACAATATTGCTGAGTGCTGAAGCTGCAAGAATCTCTTAAAAAAAAAATAAAATCAGGTGTGGTGGCTTACGCCTATAATCCCAGCACTTTGGGAGGTGGAGGCAAGAGGACTGCCTGAGTCCAGGGGTTCAAGACCAGCCTGGGCAACATGGTGAGACCTTGTCTCTTCAATAAATCAAAAAATGATCTAGGCACGGTGACAGGCACCTGTAGTTCCAGCTACTTGGGAGGCTGAGGCAGAAGGATCCCCTGTGCCCAGCAGGTCGAGGCTGCGGTGGCTGTGAGCATGCTACTGCACTCTGGCCTGGGCAACAAAGAGTGAAACTCCACCTCAAAAAGGAAAAAAAGTCTGTTATATAAACTGTATATATAAACTGTATATGCCTTAAACTCTGTTCAATGTTCATTTACACAATTGATCATTAAAATGGCTTTAGAAATATGTGAATCAAATATTTAGTATATTTTTAAAGCTTCCTTAATAACATCACTAATAAGTGAATGTGATTTTGTGTTTAGTTACTACCCATGAATATCAGATAACCTAATTATGATTTATCAACATTACCTTTGAATCATTCCAGTGGAAATGTTCTCTCTTACTGCATTCATGTTGTTTTGGTGTATGTGCATGGAAAGCAGCAGATTGTTTTCCATGATTATAGATTTTAAATATTTACTTCCTAGTGCTGCATAATTTAGCACATTGAGTTGGAAGGCAGTTTGTATGGTAGGTGATCCCATGTCAGTGTTACAGAATATAATTTCCTTCTGTGACTTCTATGTGAGGTTGTAAAGATGAAAAGTATTCTATTTCCTTTTTCTAACCAATTAAAAATTCTTATGGTGAATCCATAGAAAACCAGTGGTGCACGGTATAAATACAATTCGATTTTGTATAATTATCATACAGCTATTTTAAGAATCCAAGGATTGTTTCTCACGGTGTGTAAATGCACAATACCAAAAATAAAATGTATTCCTTTTTGTAACCCACATCTTTATGGAAGTTACCAAAAGTTATCCAGAGAGCTTGTTAGATGCCTTCTCTCTCCTAAAAAGTCAGAACAGAGTTCTATATTTCAAAATATGAAAACACAGGCAAGCAAACAGCAAACAATTATTTTGTTTGCTCATTCTAATAAATGTTCAGTTCCTGATCTTGTCATACCCTTTGCAATTTGGTTACCCCACTACATAAATAGAAAATAAACAGCTTCAGTTACCTATCTTTGTGAGAATAATAAAGAGAAAATAATTCATACCAATAAACACATTTAAAAAACGGAAAACCATGCTTCAGGTTTAAATGTGAACTTTTCAACCCTGCATGCTGTAACTTTTTTATTCTCACGAGGTTTCACTGTCCGGTAAGTAGAGACTGTTAACATTTTACTCCTAGCTTTAAAAAATATCTTACTCCTGTGCAATTCAGGAGCATGTCTGGTAGTCCTTGCTCCGATAAAATACGCAGCACTGCAAACGACATAGGGTTACATTTTGCAATCATTGAGTATTTCTCTGGCCATCCTTTAGGTTAGGAGTGAAGATACAAATTTCCATTTCAGAACAAGGCTTTTCAGATTGCCCTGTGTTTCCAATCCTCGGAAAAAATCTGAATGCACCAAATAAGTACTCACATCCCTTAATGTTTTATAAGTAATCTACAGCTTGGTTTGCAGTTCCTTCGCAACAGGATGAGAGGGGACACTGGTGTTTTTACCAAAGTGAGGTTTGGTCCGAGGTCTACAGTGGGCGGGGGCAATAAGGAATTGGGGTCGCAGTGCATGCTGGATCTTGTAGTTCTCGCGCCGGGGCAAGGACGTGGTGCCGCACGGCATGCTGGTAATTGAAGTCCGATTGTGGTGTCGCACGGCATGCTGGTCGCTGAAGTCCGGTTGTTCCACAGGAACTGACGGCCGCCGTCATGTCGTTTGTCTGTCAGAAAGACGCTGCTTACAGATGGGTACTTTAGGTTCTGCGCCGGATTAGTGGTTGAGGATAGGGGGGCGAAGACGTGGAAAACAGGGACGGATAAAGTAAGCGCCGCCCGCCGTAGCTAAAGCCGCCGCTGATCGCCAGGCTTTCGTGCCCCGGAAGTGGCTGGCCTGATGCACCGGGCGGGGGGCGGGGAGGGAGCGGTCCTCGCACTACGGTGGCCGACGAGCTCGAGGACCTGCGCCCGCGGAGCTGCGGTCTCAGCGTCTGGTTTTGTGGCGCTTGCAGCCGGAGCTGGAGCGGTCCCCGGGTCGGTGTGGCTCCTGCATGTTTTCACAGTTCCCTGGTCCTCCTGTTTCGGTGAGGGAACGACTTGAGGCTAGTCGAGGAGGCTGGGACTCCCAGCCTCTCTGGTCCCCGAATGACCGGGTTTCTTGGCGAGGGGCCCTCCGCGAAGACCCTGTGGCCAGCCTCCGGGGTCCTCCGAGGGTTTTGGCGCCTCCCTCGTCTCTGCTTTCTAGTGTCATTTGTCTTCCGACTTCCCCTCGCCCTGTACTGGGTTCCAGAGATGACAAGCCGTAAGCCTTGGTGTGGGCAGCTGTTCCCCCTTTCCTTGGGGTCGGCTTAGGTGTTCCAGGCACGACTGTCTTTCCCCCTTCCCCATGGCACTGCTCTGTCGGCCCCGTTTCTCCTCGTTAGAAAAAAAAGGTGGGGGGGGGGGAGGGGAGGACAACGAAATAAACCCGACTCCCAGGGTCTCGATGCTCTCGTTCCTAGCCCCTTTCCCCCTTTTTGGTCTTTATTGCTGCTTCTGACCATCACACACTGGCTTGGATGTACTCATGCCTTTCCATCCCTCTGTGAACGCTCATTCCCTTGGTATTTGGTTCTCGCTCGCCTTCACCCCTCCCGACCTACCCCCTCTGAGGGCTTTGGAAGTTGCAGGTTTAGAATTCATTCTTCCCCGTGATGACTGTGAAGATGACAGCCCTCAGCGGCCAATCCAGCCTGTTTCGTCTGCTCGCTGAGTTTTTGTTTCTTAAGATTCCTTTTGGCTTCCGTTTGCGCTTTGTGTTGGCTGTTTACCTGCGTGGAGGTCACCGCTACACTCTAATTAGACAGTATTCCATCTTAACAGTTTTTTTTCGTTTTGTTGTGTGAATGACTTAGGAATTTTCTGTTTGCCTGCTTGGACCATATGTCCCTAATGGGATTTTTGCAACTATTTTGTGTCAGCGGATGGCAGATAGACACAAGGGAGTGATCTTTCCTTCTTGCTTGCTGGGGCTGTGTGATTAGATGATGAACCATTGAAAGTCCCTGGAGGAATTGCAAAGACTTTGAAAGGTAAAGTCTGTGTACTTTCTGAGTTTCAAATGGATAAAGCCTCTTCCCTGAACAGGGAAAATTTTCTGACTACAGCAGTCCAATGAGCTGGTGTTACATTGACTTAATTGTCGCTTCATTCAGTATAAGGTTTTGAGAACTGTAAGGTCAAAAAGTGGCCCATATAAGGAATTGTGTAATTTAGTAAAAAGATATTAAAAGCCATTTAACTGGTGTTCTTTTTTTGTAAAATGGAATGCAGATATACTGAAAAATGTATTTCTGGTGATTGGTTATGAAGTATTTATAGATAGTTGGATAGTTCTGGTAAATAGCATTGTATCCTATCCACTAATGTTTAGTAGACAGAAATTTTGTACTCTGGTTTTCTAGTACCATGTAACTCAAATAAGTTTGCAATATCTTATATTCTGATTACTGCACTGTGGAGTTTTTTGTTTTTTTTTTGAGTTGGAGTCATTCTGTCACCCAGGCTTGAGTGCAGTGGCACATTCACAGCCACCACAGCCTCGATCTGCTGGTCTCAGGTGACCCTTCTGCCTCAGCCTTCCAAGTAGCTGGAACTACAGGCACACACCACCACATCTGGCTAATTTTTTGATTTTTTGTAGAGATGAGGTCTAGCCAGATTGCCCAGGCTGGTCTCAAACCCTTGGACTCAGGCGTAAGCCACCACACCTGACCTGTAGAGTTCTTAATACTAAAATTATCATTCTCAGTGCAATCAAACATAATTTATACATGTCAGTAAAATATAAATATTAATACTTGAACAATGTCAAATTGGATTATTCCTAATGATCTGAAATGACTTCAGCCAGGTTTATGACTTGGGACTAAATACATAATATTTTAGAATTAATTCACTCATGGAATTTTTAACTTGAAAAAATGATAAAAAGCTAGACATTGGGTTGAGTGTGGTGGTTCACACCTGTGTTTCCAGCAGATTTGGAGGGTGAGGTGGGAGGATCGCTTTAACTCAGGAATTTTAGGCCACAGTGAACCATGATCGTCCAGCACTGCAGCCTGGACAAGAGAATGAGATCCTGTTTAAAAAAAAAAAAAAAAAAAAAAAAGCTAGACTTTACTCAAATTTTTCTTTTCATATTTTTCTTGAGATTTTATTCATTTACTAGGCATTTACTGAATACTTATTACTATTGTCACAAAATTGCCAGAGCATTTATCAGTAGCAGTATCCTCTTGTCCTCAGCTCTATACCAGATGATTTTGAAGCATTATCTCAGTTAACTATAACATCTCAGTGAGCTATTGATTATTATTATTGACATCATTATTATTGTTTTGAGTAAGGGTCTCACTCTGTCACCCAGGCTGGAGTACAGTGGCGCAGTCACGGCTCACCACAGCTTTGATCTCCTGTGCTCAATCCTTCTGCCGCAACCTTCTAAGGAGCTGGGACTACAGACGGGCAGCCACTACAACCAGCTAATTTTTTTTTTTTTTTTTTTTTTTGCAGAGACAAGGTTTCCTAGGCTTGTCTTGAACTCCTGGGTTTAGGAAATCCTCCTGCCTTAGCCTCTCAAAGTGCTGGGATTACAGATGTGAGCCACCATGCCTAGCCTGTTTATTATTTACATTTAGCAGATGAAGAAACTGAACTCAAATAATTTAAGGCATGTAATTCACTGAGATAGAGAATATTTTTGACTCTTCCCACTGTACCACAGCTGCAGAGATTTGTTCTCTACCCTGGAATATATAAAGAGCTGGGATTACAGGCTAAGTCACCGTGCCCAGTTACATTTCAATTCAGCATGTACTTGGTAAGCAGCTATTGTATACCAGTTACTCTGGTAGGTACTGTGGGAATAGCAGTGAACAAAAGAGACAAAAAAAGTCCCTGCTCTTAGGAAGCTTATACTCCAGCAGAATGTGTGAGATGTAAATCTTGCCTTCAAGAAGCAGAAAATATAGCCAATATTGTAAGATTTTATGTGAGTGTTTTAGAATGTTAAAGTTGAGAAGAAATTAACTAGGGAAGGTTTCATGAAGAGGATGAGGTTTAATCTGGAATTTAAATAGTTGCTAGTGTTTTGGTAGGTAGAAATTGGGGATAAGTAATTCCAGACTGAGGCATAAAGTAAACAAGATCTCTAAGGTTGAATTGTAAGGGAGAGAGATTAAGGGAGAGAAAAGGTGGTTGGACTGCTTTAGTATCTTTAGTTTTCTTGCACATAGTTGGTGCACAGTGTTGGTTGAATTTGGAAGATATTAAAATGAATGAAGGTATGGTAAGGACTCAGATGTGAGTCAATGATGAATTAGATAGATCTAGAGTGATCACCTAGAGAATGGAAGAAAGGAGTGATTTGAGAGCCATTGGTGAAGCAGTCGGTCACATCTGTTAATTATTGAATGTTGAGGGTGGGGTGGTGACCAAGGGAGAAGGGAGGCAAGATTACCAGATTTGAACTGAGTGGACCAGGTGAATTGTAGAGTCACCTATTTCATCAAATCAGAAGATGTAAAAAAAAAATTCCAGGTGCATCATTATTTCATGAAGCACTAAGAGAAAAAAGTATTGTCAAAGAGACCAAGATTGTTAACTGTGAGTTGCATTTCTTTTTTTTTTGAGTTGGAGTCTCACTCCATCGCCCAGGCTGGAGTGCAGTGGCACACTCACGGCCACCCCAGTGTCGACCTGCTAGGCTCTGCAATCCTGCCTCAGCCTTCCAGATAGCTGGAACTACAGGCTCACGCTACCATGCCCGGCTAATTTTTTGATTTATTGTAGAGATGAGGTCTCACCAAGTTGCCCCGGCTGTTCTTGAACCTGTGGGCTCAGGTAATCCTCTCGCCTCAACCTCCCAAAGTGCTGGGATTACAGGCTAAGTCACCGTGCCCAGCTACATTTCAATTCTGGAGTTAAAACGTGAAAATCTGTGATCTAGAATGATTTTTGAGCCTTATAACTACCTTATTTATTTATTTTGGACTATTTATGAATAAGTTTGTGATCTCTGACATGCATTCATCATTTAGCATTTATTTATTAACTAAGCACTCTTCTAGGCCACAGTAATATAGTAGTGAATAAATACAGTTTCTACCCTCCTAGAATTTACTGTGTAAGAGGGGAGGCAGGCGTAAATCATATATTAGATGTTTAAAGTTACAACTATGGTAAATGCTATAAAAAAAAAGAATGAACTGATAATTATAGCAGGGATAAGAATGGGGATTGGGTGAGGCTGGTTCAACTGGTGGAGTAGTCAGATGAAGGATGACATTATCTTGGACAAAGTGGTGGTAAAGACAAAGAATTGGGTGGATTCTAAAGAATTTCGGAGGTGGAAGTAGGGGATAGCTTAGCTGTGGAAAGTGAGGGAGAGGAAGTTCCTGTCATTGGCTACTCTTAGGTTTTTGGCTATTCATAGTTTGTGGTGAAATTCAGTGAGGTAGAGAACAACGAAAGAGGACCGGTTTGGGGAACATGCTTTGTTTATTAATATTTTTTATCATAGCAGCAGTGTTTCTTAGTTTTTTCCCCCTCTTTTTGTGTCATCGTTTCTGTTTAGTATATTTGAGTAATGCTATACCTGAAATAAAATTTTTTTGGTATTATTTTCTCTTGAATGAACAAAGGTTGAAAGCGTCTGGAACTATGTTGGTATTTGTTTTGAATCTATATGTAATATATGAAACCATGTATATGACTTAGGTAACTGAGCAATGCAGTTGTATAACTATTATCTTTGTTTTCACTTGGGATGTGGCAATAAATTAGACATCTGGTTTAATTCTACCTTCATTCAGTTGGTACATACATAAATATAAATGTGCATTAGGGAAAAAAGACACACTTTTTTCTTTGAAATATCTCATTTGTGTAATTTTTGATATTGAACCAGTACAAGCAGTTTATTGTTTAAATTTTATATTTATTCGTAAAGTGGTAGAGTGCATAGAGCAAAGAGATTGGGCTTTGGAATCAGACTGCCCGGATTCAAAATCTCTTGATATTTACTAGCAGTATGACCTTGCAGAAGTTATACAGATTTCCCAAGCCCTTTTTTTTTTTTTTTTTAATTTATGAGATGGGGATAATAATAGTACTTGTCTTATAGAATTGTTGTGAGGATTAAATGAGATGATAGATGTATATTATCTATATATATTAACCTATCTATAGATTAACAAACGTTTTGGTTTGGAGTTTAAGTGTTTATTATCACCATTGTTATAGTGATGCTGGGTCCAAGATCATGTGAACCTCCATGACAACATTTTAATTTTAGGGTTTTTTATAACTAATAAACCCAATTTGATTTAAAAATTTTTGTTTGGTATTTGAATTTGGAGAAAATATTTTATAAGGCAGCTTTGTTTGTTCACTGTTGTTCTACATGAGCCAGCACATCATCTTTACAGAATTTTCAGCAGAGATGGTGTTTAGTTTACAGTTATAATAGGAAATTGGTGGTTGATCTGTTTGTGACTACTTATTGTTTGTTAGGATTATTACCTTTAATTTAAGCCAGACCTTTCTGAACTTTGTACTTGCTTATATTTCTTTTCTTTTTTTTTTTTTTATTTGAGTCGAAGTCTCACTCTGTCGCCCAGACTGGAGTGCAGTGGCTGCTCCCGGCCACTGCATCCTCGACCTGCTGGGCTCCGGCGATCCTTCCGCCTCAGCCTTCCGAGTAGCCGGAATTACAGGCTCGCGCTACCACGCCCGGCTGATGTCTTGATTTATTGTAGAGATGAGGTCTCGCTGCCCAGGCGGGTCTCGAGCCCACGGGCTCAGGCAATCCACTCACCTCAGCCTCCCAAAGGCGCGGGATTACAGGCTGAGCCACCGAGCCCGGCCATTGATAATTCTTGCCAGAATCAGTCATTGCATTGATGATTGCCAAATAGTGATTTCCCAGATATGTCAATATACTACATATATTTGTGGCTACATTTTATAAATAAGATCTCTCTCATCTCTTTTTAATTTGGTATCACTATACCTAAGAATTCTTTTTTTC